GGAGTAGGCCCTGTAGATGTAGGCGGCACGGGAGGATCCTGGTTGTTATCACCAGCGGACGGACCTGCTTCTCTTGTAGCCCTTTTTTCTTTCTATACTTGTTCAGCTGCACAATCTCTGTGCGCGTCGCACGAATGTGTTTATCAACAATGGCTTTTGCTGCATCAGAACCACAAGAAAACTTTGCTAGTTTCTGGAAATCTGCAGTCATATTCGCATGCCTAATTTCCTTTAGAGATTGAGGAGGCATTACATCAGGCTGGTGGCTAGTGGCACTTGGCACACTTGGGACAGCAACTGGCGTCCAACGCTACAACATGTACTGCTCCGGGAGGACATCAAGCCCAATATGCGTGAACACTTTCAATATGTAGCAACAAAGGATGCCATCCCTCTCCATTTTGCAACACTCACACGAATAGAGTCCCTCGGGTATTATTGCCACCACTAAGTAGTTCCTGGAACCATACTTCACATCCCATTCTGTATTTGGTCTCAGCTCAAACGTTTCCACACCAATTTGGAATGCATTGTAGTGTCCAATCATCGAAAACTCATCACGGAACTTGCAGTAAAGATCTCTAGTGTATGTCTTGTATGCCTACTTCTCTATTGGGAATTGTGACCACATGTCAAGATCCAGATGTTTTGTACTGTAGTCATTGCACCCTTCCTTGACGAGGATGTGCGTCTGTATTTTCTCGTACTGCCTCACAAAGTTCAGAATTGACTTATGAGGGTTTACATACAGCTTCAAGACTGCATTGAACCCCTCACTTCGTTGTGTAGACTGCAATAAGGGGGGAAATCTATCCTTGAAGTAACATGGCACCCAAGTGTTCCTATATTCGTAAAGTTTATCGAAATGGGTGTGTGTAATTGCCTCATATTTCATCATCAAAGCAGCCCAATTCTGTTCAAACTCATCTGGTGTGAAACTGAAATCAACGCAAAGGTTGAAATCTTCAGACAATCCCGGGTTCCGGCCTAGCAACCATCCAACTTTCTCTTGAGTTTTCTTCATGATGTGCCACCGACAACATCGGTGCACACTTGTGGGAAATATGTTCTTTATGGACTCCTTCATCTCCACATCCCGATCAGTAATGATGTTATCCGGTGCCCTTCCATTCATAGCCTCTAGGAAAGCTCCAAAAACCCAATCAAAGCTGATCTCCATTTCTTTTCTTGTCTCACAAACGCGCAGCCCAACATGAAAGATTGCCCATGACGGTTGATCCCAATGAATGGAGAAAAAGTCACATTGTACATATTGGTCATGTAGGTTGTGTCAAAGGAGACACAATCATGATATGCCTCCGTATAAGCTTTCCGTGCCAAGCCATCCACCCAAAAAATGCTTTCTGCCCTGCCTTCAAGATCATATTTTATCTTATAGAAAAAATTTGGATCATCTTTTTGCAAGTCTTTAAAATGTTCAATTGTCTCAATAATGTCCCCCTCTTTCGTTGAGTCTTGGAGAAGCCAGCACATAGGTTTGTTACTGCTTTAGGTCCATACAGTACATTTAGCTCTGAGCCATAAAACTCTGACATGATAGTCATCATACGGCCTGCAGAAACATAGTTAAGTTAGATAGTTGCACACTTGACAAATAACAGTTGCAGACTAAAGAACAACAGTTGCACAAATGTTGACATGTGGTTGCCAGAGAACTTATTTTTAATTGTTACCCCCATTTTTTATTCCCTGATGCAAAACAATTTAGTTATTTTTGTCTATCATCAGTTGCAGAGATATGAACACTAGTTGCAGAAAAGAAGGTTCAATTGCATCAATAAGGAACACTAGTTTGCAAAACAAATATTTATGTAGTATCCCCATCAAAACTAAGACTTTTTTGTAATACTATATCTAATTCAATCAGCAAGTAGTTCCAACTTTGTGTTTTGTTTGTCGTAGAATTTTTTCACAAATATTGAAGCCTGGTTGCACAACACAGTGTATGTATTTGCACAACCCCATGCTACTAGTTGCACACTTGACAGAGCAGAATTAAAACAACATAGTTTGAAATTTGAAGTTTTTGGGAGGTGAATGAGAACACACCTGAAGTTAGGTTGCAATTGTGGAGTATCTCTAGGAACCTCCTTTCCTCCAGTGGTATGCCCATGTGAGATCGCAAGTATTTGGACAGCGAAGGCTTGGCGACCAAAGGATGACTATGATCACGGACAAAGAGTGGGTTACCCACCGCCCATCCTTCAATTTAACTAGCATTTTTGCCTTACATTGTGTTTGATTTATCCTTTCTCTCTTGCGCTTCCTCTTATTCTTCTTTTTTCCACTCTCCTCTCCATCGAATATTGGGACTCTTCCATTTCATCTTCTTCATCCAAAGGTTTGGGGTCTGGTATAAGATCTAGCACAGGTGGCAACTTAGCTCCTACATCATCCTCTTTTGGCTTCCTAAACTTGTTACATGCAAATTGTTGTTTCTCCAATATGTTGGTATAAGCATTCCTCCTTGAAGTGTTCATCTTAACAGAGAAACCCATCCTTAGAGCATAATCATTGTAATGATCCTTAGCACCCTGGAGAGTATCAAATCTCATCCCAACAAACGGCTCCATTGGTTGAGAACCAGCCTCATCTTCCTCCAAAGCATTTCGATCACCACCAACTGCCCTTGCCCATAGTTCTGTTTCAGTAGGTCCTGCAACTATGGTGTTTGTTTCCCTAGTGTATGGCTTTCTGATTGCATGTTGACATCAACATCATCCATCAAACCACGATCTTGATTTAGCTGTGTGAAAATTCCTGGTTGTACAAATTCAATATCATCATTAGGCAACTCATTGAGATCGGGAGGCAACGCATTGAGGTCTATCATCCTTGAAAGCTGCTCCAACCTGCATTTTGTTTCAACAAATAAGTCATCAACCAGTTGTATTGGGTCATAGTTGCTCGCAAAATGAGGCATGAATTTAACACCGTTAGACTCATTTTACTTTTTTATTGTTTCGAAAACTGCAAGTAATCAGTTTTTGCATAGAGGAACAAGGAATTTCCAGATTGTTATGTTTCTCCAACTTTTCAAGCTTGCACATCCTAGAAATAAGTAGCAAGTATAGTTAGGTGGGTTTTTTCTCCAGATACAGCTTTTTTGGTAGTAGTTGCATAAAGGCAGCACAACATTTACACAAAAGTGTCATAGAATTGCACAAAATTTCCATACCAGTTGACTAATTGTGAGCATTCCAGTCACACAAACACAATTTCGATAAATTTCATCATACAACCTAGATAAAAATGTAGCATAGGAGTTGCACATTTTTCAGAATTTCCACATTCTAGAAATAAGTAGCAAGTATAGTTTGGTGTGTTTTTTTCTTTAGATATAGCCTCTTGACCGTAGTTGCACAAAGGCAGCACAACATTTGCACAAAAGTGTCATAGAATTGCACAAACTTTCCATACTAGTTGGATTTTGTGAGCATTCCAGTCACACAAACACAAACAAAATTTGTCATACAACCTAGATAAAAATGTAGCATAGGAGTTGCATACAAGTAGTATCAAACTTGCGACAAGCATCATAGTAGTTGCACAATATAAGAACATTCAGGCAGTAGCTACATATTATTGACCATCTCTTTTTTGTTTATGTATCTACAATGTGCAGGTCAACAAGAAGGGGAGGGCATGATTCTCCGCAGATCGATGCAAGTGAATATATGAAGCAAGGTCTGTTACAGCAACTTCAAAGATAGAACCAAAATCAGATTGCAACTATATTTGTCTATAGCTATTTAGTTAGATTTGCATAGATAGAACAACGGATTGATGGCAGTGTGTTTCAGATTTGTGAAGGCGGTGTGTGAACTTTTTCTTAAGACCTATATTTGCATATTGTATCCGAACATATCGTATATCGGGCGTCATCGTACATGTCCTTGGTTGTTTTCTTCCAGATTTGTCAAGTTCCTGCCAAGTCTTGTATTCATCTTTCTTTCTTTTTTTGCGGTTGCATAGTTTGTGCGTATAGTTGGATGCTACAACTGGGTTAGTTGCACAAAACAGGGTTTAGAGTTGCATAATCTACTGAGTTGGCACACAGCAATCTTCAGTTGGCTACTTTATCTGGCTTAGTTGCACGGAAGTGATCTACTGGTTGGACAGTTTCTCTGCAAACACACTATGCAAGATTCATTTGATTTTTGACTATCAATACATGAATCAAAGATGCCTGCAAGGAAATCGGTACAAGGGCAAGTCTACAGGAGGAATCAGGAAGAAGATGGACAAATCTACTCACCTCCAGGTACGTTCTCTTTTTGTTCCTCCTCTCTTAATCTGCTTTTTTGTTCCTCCTCTCTTAATCTGCTTTTTTCTGGGTGTTCTTTCTGATTTCTAAGCCCTCTTCTCTTCTCTTACGATTTGTCCCTAGGAGCTGCCATGTTCTTCTCCTGGCGATGAATGTTTTTGCCCCCTAAGCAGATCCTTCTTTCGTGGGGAAGAAGATGGCCTTGGGGGCAATTGGTCTCACGTGGTTTCGGTCACGTGATCCCGTGGCGGCCAACTGTCATCGCTAGTGGTGCAGTTTCGAGCGCGCGGGTGGGTGGGTTCCTTTTTCGGTTCAGTCGGGGTACCAGGTAGTTTCCTTTTTGGGTGGGCGCTGGTTAGTGATCCCAGGGCGGTCGGGCACCACCTAGACACGTCCATAAAAAAAAACAAGGAACAAGAAAAAATGCCCTGTGCAGCATTGAGAAACTTTTCTTAGCTGGCAAGTCATAAAACGAAACTACATGGAAATTTTAAATCTGATGACAATTGACAAGGCACCATTTACAAGGTAGCTAGACACTACTGCACTTCAGGGCTGCGCAATTTAAAAAGCGGAATGAACAAAAAAAAACACAACTGAGAATCCAATGACATTTGTTTGCGTTATCGCTGAGGAAGCATCGTCCTTACTCGTTATAAACACTCAATCATACAGGCTCTCACAGAATTAATTTAGAATCAACCAGAGATTGCTACCTCTTGCACTTCGCTTTTGCCATTTTCTTCCTCCTCTTCTTATCGGCTTTCGGCTCCTTCGTCTTCCGAGCTTCTCTCTTCTCTTCTTTCACTTTCTTCTTCTCCTCCTTCCGAGCAGCCTTCCTCTCCTCAGGTCCCATCTTGGGATCAGCCTCATACCTCGAATCTTCACCAGAACTAGAGCAAGATTCACTACTTAGCAATGAGCACTTATTATGTGGCAACTGTTTTTTCTGCTTTTCAGCAGTACGCTTGTTTTTTTCAGCCCGCACAAATCCTAGCAATGGCTGGTTATAAAGCTTATCCGCTGGTGGCTCGTAACACAGGGATGGTCGTTGCAACATTGACATGTTGACTATATCAGCCTCACACTGCTTCACATAATCCAACGTCTACACACAGAAATCAAGTGAATTATTGTTAAACCTGGTAGTGTCCATCAAGATCTCCTGCTTAGAAGGCTAATCATTTATGGCAAATGTGAGCAGATGACGGTTGAACTAATCTTACCTGCACCATGACTGTTGGAGATATGTCATCATCATTTGCGAGTGTATCTCCATTCTCCAACATCTTCTGCTGAACCTGTGATTAACAGAATACAGCTAATCCATTAGATTCTTTATCCATGATGCAGCATGCACAATCACCAATTTATCTCCATTCAACATACCTTTTCTAAGTAATCATCTACATCGTCATCCGCAATGTTTTGATCAATCACAAAATTAAATAGATCCATTACTGTCATGACAGCGACACCTCGTTTCAGAAAGAAGTCCTGCACAAAATGTTGCGTATATCAGAGTTAGCAATTTATTAGGACCCACATAATGCAGTGCCGAAAGAACGATTCATTTGCCCCCAGGGGTCCGATTGGGCGAACCCATGCGTTTTCTCCCGGGGGGAGTTTCCCAGCAACCCCAGCTGGTCCAGTAAATTATGAAACGTGCAGAAAGAAGGGGCTAGGCCCAATTAGCTGGGTTTTTTAAAATGTCGTAAATAAATTTGCCATGCAAAATACGACCCTCTTGGCTGTCAAACTTCCGCTGGGAGGGGGTGGCATTTGTGAACGTTTAGATAGCAGTTTTAGTTGTATGGGGGTGGCAGTTTCTTCAGAACAGCATGGCAGTTTCTTCAGAGAGGCATTTTCCTTCTAAAACTGCCACCGTTTGATCTCACGTCACAAACTAAAACTGCCAAGAAAATGTGTTTGCTTGCCACCCCCTTCCCAGCTGAATAACATTACCATATAAATAATAGTAGTGCACAGTAAGTTGCAAAAAAAAAGCATTTTTCGAAACCAAAAAATTATGAAATTGCCGTGAGACTATATGAAACACTATTAAAAATTATAATTGACATTTAACCAAAAAGATACAATTATAAAATTGTAATGGTTTTAAAGGAAAAATATTCTATACCCATGGCAATTCTATACCCATATTCTATACCCTAATATCCAGCGTACATCAGCTCTGGGAGGAGCCCCCCGCGAACTGTTCGTTCGCCCCATGAGGGTTCATCGAGCGAACCTTTTTGGTCGCTGAAAATGTTCACTCGTATGGGCTTGCTCAGCGACTAGTTGATCAATTCAGGCCTTAAAAAATTGGCCAATTCCAGCCCATTCATAAAAAAAAGTGCAAACACAGTTTTCGCTATGCCCATAGGACCAGTTAGCTTTTCTTATATTTGAAAAAATGCCAACAACAAAAACAGGACCCTAATTGCAATGATCTGAATTTTGAAAAACTGCCATGGTCAAAAAAGGAAAAAGAAAGTTATGCCATTAAAAATTAAAATGCCATCCTGTAAAATAATAAAAACTGCCATCCTCTTAATAATAAAAATGCCATGTTATTGACTACTAAAATGACATGATCTTAAAAAAAACTGCCATGCTAATGATAAATAAAAATGCCACTCTTAATAATAAAACTGTCATCCTCTTAATAATGAAAATGCCATGTTCATTACTGAACGCCATCCTCTTAAAAACAAAAATGTCATGCTATTGACTATTAAAAATGTCGTGCTCTTAATAATAAACTACCATGTCATTGATAATAAAATGCCATGCTCTTAGTAATAAAACTGTCACCCTCTTAATAATAAAAATGTCATGTTATCATTATTAAACTACCATCCTCTAAAAAAACAAAATTCCATGTTATTTGACTATTAAAACTCTTGATAAATAAAAATTGCCATGTTACTGATAACAAAATGCCATTCTCTTCAAAGAATAAAACTATAATAAAAGAAGGCCTATGAATTGCCATCCTACCTATAATAAAAATGCACATGGTAAGTTTAGAAGAAAAAAAATCCCCTCTAAAAAATAGGGATTTTTGTTCTTTCAGAAATGGAAAAAAAATCAGGATATTCATTATTTTTTAAATGGAAACCCGAATTTAAAAAACAGTTCACTCAAATACATAGTAAGTTTGAGCTTAATACTCCTGCTGGAGGTGGCAAGTTCGACTCCCTTCAGCCGCGCATCACTCGTGATTTCGTGAAAAAATGAAAACAGGAACGTTCGCCAGGGATCCGTTCACAGCGGACGATTCCAGAGAGCTGATGTGAAGTTGGCCTTGCGCCAACATCCATGAGAGGGCAGCGAAGGCGTTCACCAGGATTAGGCTCCTGGCAAACGTTCGCCAAATAGCATTTCCGATTTATTAATATACACATGGGTGGTGATCTATCCAGCTTTCACTTACAGAAACATGCAAACAATCTTCCTTTAATAAGTCCAACGCCAAAGGGTGATCAACATCAACAGATTGCGAAACATCAATGATATATAAGTGGCCCTGCACAACAGAAGAAGGATATAAGAAAAGGTTTTCTGGAACAATGGTAATATTAATGGGAAAAAGCTCAATTAACAAGTTTTCATTACCTTAAAATAAAGAATGTTATATTCACTCAAATCGCCATGGACCAGCTTGCACTTTTGATAAAGTGTCCTCATTATCGTAACAATCTGAAAACATGGTGCAGTAAGTACATGAGAAAACTGAAAATGATACACAAATACTGCAATCAATAATGAGAGCTTTCATCTGGCTTGATTCTCTTAACCCAAATCTAGTGTATGATAAAATCTATAATGACTAACAGTACAGAGAATATTATAATACACATCAGCACCAGAATAAATGAAAGCTTGGGCCTGGGACTACAATGTGAATAAAATATATTTTGCACGAGGACTTGTGGAAATGTAAATGACCATTATGATAGGCGGAACTACAAAGTCACCTCAAAGAAGTTAAGTTTTACAAAATATTGACCATTCTTCTGTCCAGAAAAACTAGACTAGTATTGTAGAACTTCACTAAAATTTTGAAGTGCTGACAAAAATACAGCCCAAAAAGGCTTTGTTGTAGTTGACTAAAATATGACCCAACAAGCGAGTGGGGAAAATTGAGTGCAATGGAAACAACATTAAGAAGTTTGTTATAGCTCAGAAGGTTCTTGTACCATCACGGCATCACCATCCCTTGCAAACTATACTCAAATGTGAATTATGATCTACATGTTAAGTTGTATAAAAATATATCGAGTTCCAACTTTGAACCACCCAGTTAGATATCAATACAGCAGGTAATGGTACAGATCCATTTATAGCTATCCAGTTAAGAGAGAAAACTGTTTTGACTTGTCATGTACGGATGTACCTCAAAGTAAGCTTCACGCAGCTTGTCAACCGACAAAGCAGCATCCTTAAGACGAGGAGCAGCCCAACCTCCTTTCCCTGAAGGATAACAAAAGAATTTGTATCAGAACATATATCAACTATAATTTTATCCTGCCAGCAAGATAAGCATGCTTCCAACTACAAATATACCAATGCTACACAGGAAAGTTGTGGAATTACCTATGAATTCCATCACCAATACATGAAGCTTCAGGAGCAATGGTGCTGGGCATCGAATTTTAGCTGCTGCCACTCTGTAACGAGGGTAACAAAGAAATAGATGGATTTAAATACTAGAAAATTATAGGAGAACAAGAGATTAAGGAGCAATAAGACTTTTTTTAAAAGAAAGGGCAGCCCGGAGCACATAGCTCCCGCTTGTGCAGGGTCCGACCACTTAGGGTCTTTTGTACACAGCCTTTCCCTGCATTTCTGCAAGAGGCTGTTTCCAGGACTCAAACCTGTGACCTCATAGTCACAAGGCAACAGCTTATACTAGAGTAACAGCAATATGAAATTATGAATAAGGTATGAAAAATATATCCCACCGTTTAAGATTTCTCATTTCCTTTTCAGCCCAGGTCTTAACCATTTTCCGGGGATTATGCTTGCAGTAACCATATCTAAAACGATAATCTCCTTGAACATATCTGTCTCTATCCCTGCAATAAACAAATGTCACTCAAACCTTTACAGAACAATTCTTTTAACAAGTACGAAAAGGATAAAGAGCATATCACATGACACAGTACTGCAATATGTTTCAACAAGAATCTATAGGGAGCAACAAACAAGTGTAAAGAATCGAATCTTACTTAAAGACAAGGACAGAGGTTTTATAGACTTTGATTGCTAGCTCCTGGCCATCTATCTTTGTTGCATGATAGACATTTGCCTGCACAGGAAGTGGATTAATGTTGAATATGGAAGTAGATATACCCAATTGGGAAAACAGATAACTGAAACCAGCAGATTGAGCAGAATTCTCTTTATTCTATTTACCGAACAAGGAGCTGTATTTCATTTATTAATGTTCTAATGCTTTTAGGTCTGCAGTAAAGAGAAATACACAGATCGAAGGAAATAGTTCAGTAGCACATGCACTGCATTTTAGTGTTTACCTCTTTTCCTGTAGAAATGCAACCATTTATATTATTAAAAACACCACTGTTCAACATCTTGAACAAAACCATGCGTGTTCTTGGGTCAATGGCCTGCATATAAATGAATTACTTCGCTGATGAAGTTATTAGATAAATGTAAAGTAACCGATACTTCACTAAGCATCAGGAAGAGCATGGTTAATGCTTGTATAAGAGAAGAAACTTCTACCCCTCAGCCGTATGTACACAAAATTAAAGATAATTAACGTGGTAATCATGTCTAACGAAAAACTGCAATCAGGAATCAGGAAAATAATTTAGATAAACATCACCTCAGGCAATTTCACTTAAGTAGCCAACATTACTGCAACAAAAAGAGTTGGTGACTCATGGTGCCATTTAGATCATACATATAGCTGGGAATTAAACAGAGTTCCATAAAAAGTGCAATAAAAGGCAGAATGGTATGTAAAATGCACTAAAACAAATTCTTAATGACTTAATTTGACTTCTTGTGTATCCAGTACAAGAAGATACTTTCTAACCAAGCAGACTCTTGAAACAAATGCCAGCTCGATTGAAAGGGAATGGAATGGTACATTAGGATTATGCAAGATTGCAAGTGCAAGCAGACATGTTCCGCTCCAAAAGGCATAGGACAGAATAAATATCACTTAGCAGAGAGCATGTAAAGAACTGTTCCACCGTAGCACGATCGGCCTTCTCATGGTTCCTTATTTTGCCAATTGATGTGTCCCTTATGCTGTCCCTGATTGCAGTCGTTACCGAATTTGACATCCCCACGTTCATTCTACCTTCCCACTCCTTATAAATAATACAAAATCAATCACATAAGATATTGAACACAACGTACCATAACACGAGACTGTAGATAACATGCACAAGCAAATAATTCACCACGCTAGGATCTCTAAGGCGAAGAGTTGACGCTGCATACCTCCAAGGGCGTGGCCCGGATGTGGGAGGCGAGCTTCTGCGTGCGATTGGAGAGCGGCTGAAAGGGGCGGGAGAGCACGCCGCCGTGCACATTCGGCCTCCGCGCCGCGGCCGCGCCTCCGACGATCGAGAAGGCGGCGGATAGCCGGGCTGAACCATCATGGCTCTCGACGGCGTCGAGCCAGTCCAGGCCATCGCCCACTTCGGAGTCGGAGACATCTTCCGAGACGTCGGACTCGGACCACTCGTCCGCACGGTCGAGCTCGACGTGCACCATCTTCGACGACAGAATGCTCAACGTTCACCGAGATCTGTGCATTGATGCTCTTCGCGAGCCACCGCCCACGCGCAGAGTCGCCGCCGCTCCCCGCGCGCTGATCCGCTGCTCTTGCGGCCGCCCCGTTGTCGTGCCGTCGCGCCGTTGCCTTCTCTTGCTCGCTTGTGCCTGCGCTGTGGGCGGTGTGGCGGCTGGGATGGGGGGATGAGATTTCTTAGTTAGGGTTCGATTTGTGGCTAGGACCGTGCCTGGCGTGATGCATACCCGGCACGGCACGTGGCTAAACGCACGCCTTGGCCAGGCCCGCGTTTATTTTATTTATTTTATTTCACATCTATATTTATCTTTATCTTTATCTTTATCTAACTAATTAATTTATTATCTTTATCTTTATACCTTAATCTCTACTCTCTACCTTTATTTCTTTCCCTACTAATAAAGCACGGAGTGCTTCTGGTCGTACGTCGTCGTCACTTTTGCAAAAAAGCCCCTCTATTTTCAAGAATTCAACCCGCAGTCCCTTTTTAAGTTGCTATCTCAGAAAACGTTTCGTTATTACAAAAAGAACCCTGCCGTTTTAAGAATTCAACCCGCGGTCCCCCTGGAAAGAAAAAAAAAACCTAGCCACACGAACGACCCATGAACCCCAATCTCATCCACCTCCAGCGCCGCCACGCCCTGCAACGCCGCCGCGCGCCGCCGAACTCCGCCCCGTCGTCGCCCCGCCGGAATCCGCCGGAACTCGACCCGCCGTCGCGCCGCCGCTCAAGCCCAGCTTCTGGATCGGGTCAACGCGGTGGCTCGAGCGGCTGGGGGCGGCGCGGTGGCTCGAGCGAAGGCGGCGGCTGGAGATTGCAAGGGCCGGATTCATGCGCGGCAGGGGCTGGGGAGGCGTATCCGGAGGCGGGCGGCTCGACGGGAGGCTCCTTCCGCCGCCGCCACCTGCCTGATTCACCTCGCCGTGTTCTTTCCCGATTTACCTGATGGACAACACGGGCGTCCATGAGCGGCGGTTGCAGGCGACGACCCGCTCTCTTCTCTTCCGATTCGCCTATAGGGGCCGATCCTTGCTTTCACCAGATCCGACGGCCGGGCACACGCGTGGGGATGTGGCATCTAGGATGGCCGGGCCGAGCCACTATCACCGGGAGGTCGAGGAGGGAGGGTGGGTGGAGCCGGATGATGTAGATCGAGGATGCGCCGCACCGGGCCTCCTTTGAAGGAAGCGGAGGGGCAAGGCGCCGCGCAGGAGTCACGAGTTTGGCCATGGGAGCACAGCCGCCCCGGATCTGCCACAAAGAGACGCACCGACGCGCGTACGGAGCGCTGAGCTGACCGCCACGAGGGGGCGCACGCACGGGCCAGCCGGGAGGCGACGAGAAGCCCCGCCCGGCGCCACCGCCACGACGGAGGCTTCGCATGGTGGTGGCCTCCGGACTCCGGTGACGGCGAGGGGGAGGAGCTGGAGATGGGGTTGCTGGTAGCGGCGCACTACCGGGGGAAGCGGCCTGTGGGGTAGTCGCCATGGTTTCCAGTGATAGCTCGTCAACAGTCGCCACTCGTCAGGCCGGCTGGAAGCAACGGGTGCTCGGCAGGGATGTGAGAGCGGAGAGATGGAGAGATAGAATAGAACGAGAGCGGTGGAGGTGGAGACGAATGGATAAGCTTTGAAGCATGGCCTCTCTAGAGCGAGGTACACGTGACGTGATGGATGGTGTACGTGTCGGCTCGAACTAACCAGCGCTATTTCTATTAGCTGATTGATTTTTTTAATCCCCCACAAAAAGGAGGACATGCACAATGCATTTTTTTACTGAGCAAATGCACGTATTTGTACTAGAACGGGAGTATGTGAGAGACGCATCATGAGAGAATATCATTTTTTTCTTGCGTTTGGACCAAGCCCAAATAGTGAAAAGAACCATTAGGATTGAAATATAATCTTACAAATAAGAAAATCTACAGAATCAAAATCATTGGTTTCAAATCTTTCGACGATTCTCTAAAAATCATTTAAGTGAATTACACTATATGTTTCTTCCTAAAAGACTATTTCATGCATCACTATTCTTTCGTCTGATAGTAGTGCAGGCCTTAAATATGCGTTAATAAAGGACGATGGGTTGACCTTTTCGTATAAACACTCCATGATCCAAAAAAAGATAATGCAACCCGTGACAACACACACGCATATGCACCTCACGGAGACGAGGGTGACCCAATCTCAGCATTTATCACAGTTGGATATGAGTGGCGCGTAATGGCACACGAAGCAGGTTTTTGTTAGAGTAAACCTTGCGAGTTCGGTAGGTTTAGCAAAGTTCAGTTAGATTTCACTGCCATGGCAGTTGTTTCGGTATTGTTATGTTTTCTCTATCAGTTTTGTCAGTTAGCAGGTTAGCAAGATTAGCTTAAGTGTTTAACCAACAGGACTGATTCATGTGCCCGTTTCCTTCGTTGTAGCTCCGAATATTTTAGTGAAAGAAAGCAGAAAAATTGCAGGATTTTAAGTAGGCTAAACTTTATCTTCCACCTTTGTCCGCTAGCGTTTGATACATGATTGCATAAAAAAATTTTGCCCGTTGCAACGCACGGGCATTTGTACTAGTACTAGTATAGTATACTATACTACTATACTATACTACTATACTATACTACTATACTATACTAGTACTAGTACTAATAAAACAAGTATTGCTTCTGGTCGTCCGTCTAAATATTACCCTCGAAGTTGCCATATATTACCCGCTATGCCATCTAAATGGAAAACGATTCGTTTTTTGTTAAGACACCGTCGCTATAAGTGTTTTATAGGTACGATACCCATCATTTAGCACATGTGAGCTGGTGGCGTAGTGGCAACAGCCTTTTTCTCCCACTTGAAAGACCAGGGTTTCGAACCCTGCGTTCACCATTTTTTCCAACTCCTTTTCTCACCCACCTCATCCCCCCTGAATGTCTTCAGGCATCTCTATTTTTCTTCATCTTTTTGTCTTTTCTTTTCTTATTTCTGTTTTTTACTCTCTTTTTTGAGTTAATTCAAGATTGAAATTTTTAAAAAAGTTGCAGATTTTGGAAAAAAAATGGTCGAGAAATCATAAAATGTCTACGAATCTTAAAAATGTTTGAAAAATCATAAAATTTTCGTGGTTTCAAAAAATGTTGGTAATTTTACAAAGATTTTGGAAAATTATAAAAAAAATTACAATTTGGAAAACAATTGTCGGGAAATAAAACCATGTTCTTGATTTTGAAAAAATGATCATGTATACAAAACATATTCGCGATCACGAATCTAAAAAAATATCCATGAAATTTTAGAAAATTCTCAAAAAAAATCAACTTTTCTGCGAATTTTTTAAAAAACCATTGATTCAAAAAATGTTCAGGAATTTAAAAAATATTCATGTGTTCAATAAATGTTCGTCTAAACAAAACAAATGTTTATGAATTTTAAAAATGCCCAATTATTTAGAAAAAAATGTTTGTCAATTCCAAAAACTTTTTGACGTTTCAAAAGTCTTTTATGTCTACGTTTTGATCAGTTTTTGGAAAGTCTTTATATGTCTAGGCGTTGGGAGTAGTTCGTGGTAGATGAGATTTATTTTAAAAGTTTTAAACATTTTCTTGCGCTACACAATGACAAGTGTGTCATGCGGTGGCAAGCTCATTGTCTTGAGATTTATCATGTCGAATGCATTGTGATCATGTGGACATCACGTCCATCATCAGCGAGAGTCGGAAGAAAGGTAAATGGCAAAATGATGAGCCACCGTGTTAAAATAAAGGATGTTGATTGGGTCATACTTATTTGACCAGAGTGTAATTTTTGTATCTACCGTTGCAACGCACGGACATGTTTGCTAGTCAATAATAAAGCAAATTGGGTTTCTTTCGTCCGTCATGCCATTTTTCAAAAAAGTCCCTCTATTTCAGAGAATTCAACCCGCAGTCCCGTTTTAAGTTAAAACGAATCATTATTTTCGTATTTTACACAAAAGTCCCTATCTTTTCTTGAAATCAACCCGCCGTCCGGATTTGAGTCACACCCGAACCGTTATTTTACATTTTTCGAACCCCCTGATGTTTTAGGTAATTCATCCGTGGATCATATTTAAGTCAAACAAATGCTTTTTAAAATCATCCATATCTTTTAAACCGTAACTCCGATTTGAACATGTTATATATGAAATTTGATTAGAAAAATATGTAGAATACGAATATGAGATTATTTTTACCTTTTAAGTATCTTTAAATATTATTTTGGAATATATTTGAGTCAAACCAAATGATTTTCTAAATTATCTGTATCTTTTAAACCGTAACTTTGGTTTTAACATATTATATATGAAATTTTATTAGAAAAATGTGTGGAATCTAAATATGATGTTAATTTTACCTGTTAAATATTTTTAAAATATTATTATGGAAGCAAACTTACAATTTATAGCGCAAAATCCGTTTTTTCGTACCGGCGGCGATCCGGATTGCAAATAAACACTCCACTATAACCATATACGGAAAAGAAAACATCGATAACTACACGTGCATACCTCTGAAAAATGTCACAAGGGAAAACAACAGATTTCTCATCACGAGAGTGAGAGAAAGCGAGAGAGAGAGAGGGAGGGAGAGAGAGGGAGAGGGAGGAGAGAGGGAGAGAGAGACGCCTTAGAATTAACCATATTCAACACACGTTTTTTGTTGTTTTGTGTGAACACCGAGGCCATCGCCGGCGAGGGTGAGAAGGAGGGTAAGCGGTAACACAAATATGATGCCTCGCAAAAATAAAGAAGATGGACCTATTGTGGTCTTGAGTGATGATTGTTGAGTTAAGAGTGTGTGTTATGTTTTCTCTCCCGTTGCAACGCACGGGCTCTTTTGCTAGTTAATAATAAAGCAAGCATCCCTTTTACCGCTGTAATTTCGTCCGCCCTTACATCCGCCCGGTTTCACATGTTCACTCGTGTCACTTCCTACGTCTGTTTTCATATTTGCAG